AAAAAGCTCGGAAACATGGTCTCCAAAACCAGTATGCAGCTAAGCAGAACTCAGATGAGCTTCATTAAGAAAACCCATGTATTTAAGCTAATTTCAGTACGGGGACCTGGGAGTGAACTTTTTTAGCAGTTGGAGAGTCACAGTGCTGCTGTCTGGAGGACCAGCTCGGAAATGGGAGTCACCTGTCTCAGGGGAAGAACAGGAGAGGCAAAGGCAGCTTTGCTTGTCCTCTCATGTCCAGTGGAAGAGGGGCAAGAGGGGAGGAAAGCAGCTGCCTCAAACACACTTGGGGCAACTGTAGTCTCCTAAAGTCTGAAGCCAAGGGAAACCGCCCGTTCTGCCTGAGCTTGTCTCCCTCAGAGCGTTGCACTTCTAGATCCCCTGCGTGCAGCAAAATGACTGTTCCTGAACCACTGTTGGGAATGCAACCTGCTGTGTGCAGCGGGCAGAGAACAAAGCTACCAAGGTTCAGTGCTTGGTCAGCTTTGGCTGGTCTTGTCCTGCTCCTAGCCTCTCCGGGTGACCTGATGATGTGTTTCCAAGAAGGCTGATTCAGCAGCTATAGCAATGAGGTTTAGAGCCTGCCATCTGAGGGACTTTCAATGCACAGACCCAGGCTGTTCATCCTTGGAAGGCTTGGAGGTGCTCTGGACAGGGAAAGTGAGGAATCCTCAGGGGACCACAGCTGACACTAGAACTGCTTGAGCTACATGTGTCAGAACATCTAAGTCCTTTCCAATCAACATCTAGAATTTCTTACAAACCAGGCCATTAGTGGGGTTTCTTTCACACTGCATTACCCCTCTCTTCCTCCCCAGCTTTGATCAAAAAGTTCTTGCTGATGGAAATGGCGTCAAAGCCACATCATCCCTGTATAGACTTTTGATCTCCGTGAATCAGTTATCCATTAAAAAAAAGAAAAAGAAAGCTTTCAAATCCAGTTTGATTAAATTACTTTTACATAAAATGTGCCCATGTCAGATGTTGCAACTTGGCAGCACGGTAGAGAGAGATGGGGACCTCTGGAGTTAGGCTCGCCATGCCCGCGTCAGGCACCACATTTAGGATGAGACAAATCACCACCTGGGGACACGCGCTGTTGGATTCCACTTCCCCATCCACGGGCAGAGGTACAGCCCCCTCTCCCTGCCCTCTGCAGGAGGATGGGAAGATGGAGGGAGGGGGCAGAGGATAAATACACCTCACATGTTACCACGACAATGAGAGGCATAATCATCTCCTTGGCTAGCTTGGAGCCCGGCGGTGGTCTTTCCACCACTGCCTGTGTTTTTACTGCACCTTCAATAGTGGGCACTGCATTATCAAGGGTCTGCATAATGACAACACACAGGGGACACTACCTGCTGAGTTGTGCAGCTCTGTGCTCTGTGATGGGGAGTCCATTCTTCCCAGGACAGTCTGGACTGCATCCCTCATCCCTCTATCCAGAGCCGTGGCTTTGTTTATTTGACTTCTCTCCTGGCATCAAGGACGTAAGCAGAAAATTGACTGTGACTTGCACAGCGAGAAAGGAAGAGAGAGAAAGTGTCATGAGATGGGGAACAGTCAACACGGTCCTGAGCCCTGCTGGGTAAATCCCATTTAACTCAGCGACATGGGAGTGTAAAATAGGTCTAGGAATATCTGGAAGGCTTGTGCCAACTCAAGCAAAGCACAAAGCAGAAGCAAAACTGCCTGCCTTTGAAGTCCTCAAGCCCTCCCTACCCTCACCAATACCAGAGCTCACCCTTTGCCTCTTCCAACTTCCTACAGGTGTTCCTGCTGTCCACTGCATCCCCTTCTTCAATGATTTGTCATTCAAATAGCCTTCTAATGCCTGTAAACACAGAAATTGGCATCTGAACAGCAGGAAATCTAGGAAATTAGCACAAGGGACTCTTCTGGGCTTGGGGCCAATATATAGTCCTAGGAGCCACTGAAAGCACAGCAGAGTCAAGCTCTAGAAAGCAGGAAGAGTGTCACTGGGTTGGCATAAAACGACTCCTAGTCCATTCAGGATAAGTGACAGTAATGCGCTAGTCTGCTTTGCGTTAACCACAGGGAGCATGAAAGCCAAACTCCCTGTGATACTGATTTGGGCATGGGCAAGCGCAGATCTCAGCTCTGTTCAGGGCCCATTTAGTTGCTGTGGGGAAATGCCACAACACGCAGCTGTTCTCTTTTTTCTTTTTTCTTTTTTTTTCTTAGATTCATCCTGTTTTTTGCCACCTCATCTGGCTTCCTCATGCCCATAGAGCTGTGGGCACTGGTCCAAGAATTTTGACTACAAGACTCACTAACTACCGGACAAGGGAGACACATGGTGTGCCCCGAGACTATGACCAAAATGGAAGTTTCCACAGCAGCCCATCACAGCATCCAGCAATTCTCCTGGCTTTTCTATGGACTCTGGAGTGGAGATGACCCTGTGGCTGAGCTGCTGTCTGCTACGGTGCTTCAGCTTCAGGTGTAGGTTTGAATCCCTCAAGAGTTTGAACGATGCTTTTAGATGAGTAGGAAAGGTCAAGGCCTGCTTTGGTCATGCAAGACCTCAGAAAATCCTTCAGCACTGGCATGAAGGGGACAAATCCTAGCAAGTATGGCAGAAAGCAGCTGGTAACGTTCCGATCACTCACCTGTGTGTGTGGATAAGTATGCACACAAACTGGACATGCATGCAGGCATCAGGATTGTCAAAGCTGTCTAGCTTACCAAGGCACTTAGGAATCCCAACACAGGGCACTGACTTCTTGCTTCATCCTTTGGGCAGGACAATGTATTTGCACCAAAACATGCCTGGCTCCTCTGCAGAGGCAGATGTTGGTCATGGAGTTGGGATGGCAGCAGTCAGATCTGCTGGGATCCCAGGACCATGCTGCACAGCATTTCCTGCCCAGCAATACAGCTGGTACTGACAGATCAGCCCCCATCTCAGTGCTGAGTGAGCTGTTCACCAGTATGGGTCTATGCCACATCTTTTTGGCAGCCCCAGCGATGGATTTGGAGGACACAGATCATAAATGCAACAGTTTGGGCATTTCCCTCCCTGTCATTCACACAGGTTGAACCTGGCTGTGTCAGAGGTAGAAAGTACCCAGCAAAAGCCCATGAAGTTGTTGCAGGTGGGTCTCCGATACTGCCACACTGGCTGCCCAGCTTGCAGCATCACAGTCTCTCTGGGACGTGAGCCATCCGAGTATCCTCCACTGCTTCTTCGCATGGTCGGTGTTCCCTCCTCATGAACCATCAAGCCTAGAGCAAGGCTGGCATTAAGTCATGGCCCTCCTGATGTCCTTCACTCCCAGTTTGTGATGGTCCCTCCCTCCTCCACATGTGGTTGTTCTGTGAAGCTGAGCACCAGTCCCATGCTGTGAACCCCAACAGTGGCTGGTACAGCCTCGAGACCCTCAGCCTGACTTGCACACATAGTCCTCTAGTGCATGTCCCCAGGACCTTGTTACACCCATGACACTGCTCTTGCTCTTCTCTGGCCTACGCTACATGCCACCAGCATGTGACAGGCTGGTCTTGCATGCATAGACCTCAAAACCTCAACAGTCATCCAGCAGAGAGAAGCACAGAAGAAAACACACAGTTTGATAAGGAAGAGCAACCTCCTGGCAAACGCTCTGCACAACCCTGCCATAACCCGGAGTAGATGCAGAGGGCACGGGGGGCTGTCTGCAGTACAAGGAGTGCACAGCTGGATCTAGGCAGGTGCTTTACGGACCACTGTGTGGTATGGGGCACCCAGACACCAATGGTTTTATTTTCATAGCATCCCAAGGTCAAAAATGGGTGTCATACAGAAGACGAAGTCACTTGCACAGTGACTCCCTGAAGCACTGGTGGCAGAGCCAGGAATGGAAACCAGCTCTCCAGCACTGCCAGCCTGAGCTGCCAGGCCAGGAGCTGCGTGTTTGAGGAGATACACCCTGTTTCGTAAATCCAAGCCAGCGTGCTGCTCCACGCTGGAACTACTTTCTGGTTCATTAATCACAGGGCTGAGTCTAGTTATCTGTGCATATCGGAAGAAAAATGGCCCTGCACGACTTCTTGGGATTGCTTACTAACGTTCCTCTACCTGCAACCCGGAGTCCTCAGCTCCAAGGGGCTGGGCTAATATTTCCTGCTATCCTGGGCATCCTGAAATACGAATGATGTTGGGCAAATGCGTGGGACAGTTTGATGGGAAACAGGAGCATTAGCAGAGCATGTTCCATGCAAAGAAACCCTTTGTTGGCACCAGTTAGAGATTGCACAAACATGCCGAGTGTGTCTTATTACTGTCATGTTAGATGCTCAACCTGCCTTCAGACCATGGATTACTCAACATCCTTTTAATTTTTCAGCTTTTTAGCTGGTTAGTATACTTCACTCCTTGCAGATGACAATAACTTAGGAAAAAGAAATCTTTATTTTATATTTTTTTGTATACTCGTACACAAGTAAAATAAAATGCATATCTATATATACTGCAATTTTGTGAAGGAAAAGGTAGCATTCTTTAACAAATGCTGCCTGTAAACATGGTGTGATGGAATGAATACGGAAAAACTGCAATATTCATAAACATAGGATTAAAACAGCATCAAATTCATTACCTCTGCAAATGGGAACCTGCAACATTGTTCAGTGTGATGTCAAGTTACAAACAGATTTTAGACATTCTTTTCGGAGCATTTCTTACACTTTTTTTTTCCTGTAAATAAACCGTATTTCTTTACCACCTGCTGTAGCAAAAGCTGCTTTGTGGGCAAGTGCAGTTCCAAAGACCAAAGGTATAATTCACAGGTTTCAGGACAAATAAATTATGTACATCTTGGCGCTTGTCTTTTTAGTTTTTTGTTGTGTTTTGTTTTTTATAAAGGCATCCAGTTAACTTTTGTGTAACAAAGCTTTCTCAGGGTGGACGGTAGTTTTGCTGTTGTTTGCAATATTTATGGAGGTCAGCAAAAGTCTAGTATTAAAGTGTCATCACCCCAGGAAAAGAGTTAATTTTAGCAGAATAACAGTAAGCTCCATACCAATGAGGGGATCAAAAGGCTGAGGCTGAGCTGTAATGTGGAGCTGTTTCCTTGCTGGGTGAGTCGGCACTGGGCCTTTGATTTGTTCTTTTTAGAGCAGCCCTGCCTCTTTTTGGTTGGGACTGTGGAAGGTTCAATAGGCTCTAGAAATTCTGGTTTCAACTTGGTCAATGGAGGGTCTACAATGCTGGGGAAGGTCCCAAAGGGGGAATCGTTTATCTGCTTGTTGCTTCCATTTTTTGAAAGGTCCGTCTCAATGTACTTGGTTTTGGACATATTTTCCTTATCCTTGAGAGGGTTGTTGGAGGATGGCCGACTGCTGTGGGAAGAAGGACCTGTCTTGCCTTTTGCTTCATAAATAAAAGACTTATCCATTTCTGCCTGGCAGCACTTTGGGGAGCCATCATGGGAACCGAGAGGGGGGACGCCGGTTGGCAGTTTACCAGATCTGGTCTTAGTGCTAAAAACACTTGTTCGTATCTGGTTGAAGGAGTCGACGCATCCTTCCAAGTCGGCGCTCTGCAGCCTTTTGAGGTCTCTCCCTGCCAAGCGGGGGGGAAGGTGGCACTCTAGCTCCGAAGATGATCCTTTAAACTGCTTAAACCAATTCCAGAGAGACCGAGCCTGGCAGTCACAGATCCACTGGTTGCCATTCAAGCGCAAGTACTGGAGGGACACCAGGGGAGCCATGGTTTCCCCCGTGAGCACAGTTAGGTTGTTGTTAAACAGATACAAGGTCATCACTTTCCCAAGGTCATGAAAAGACCGGCGGTGAACCACGCTGACCTTGTTCTGGTGCAGAAGCAGCCGGTCGAGGTTGATTAGCCCACGAAAGACATTCTCCGACAAGCTCTTGATTTTGTTACCATGCAAAAACAGGTAGGTAAGGTTTGCGAGATCTATGAAGGTGTCATCCAGCAGGTTCTGAAGATTATTATCCTGAAGGTAGAGATATTGCAAGGAGAACAACCCTCGAAAAAGCCCTGTGGAGAGCTCCAGGAGCCCACAGCGATCCAGGTGTAAGGTGTGGAGGTGAACAAGACCCCGGAAAGTGACGGGGTTGATAGATTTCAGGTTCGTGTTGTCACTGAGATCTAGCTCCTCCAGTTTGTTGAGCCCATAGAAGGCTCCAGGCTCAATGAGGCTGATGTTGTTGGAGTGAATCCAAAGAATCGTCATGTTGCGGCAGGAGGTGAAACTGGTGGACCTCACAAGGGTTATCTTGTTGTTGTGCAAGAAGATGCGCTGGCTCTGGATGGGTATCTCAGTGGGGATCACCGTCAGTCCTTGCTGCTGACAACTTATTGTAATCTTCGGTTCACTGTAGCATACACACGCCCCGGGGCAAGACTCCACTTCTGACTGGATGTTCAAGCAAAGCACCAAAATCAGCAGTTTGCTTCCTAAAGGATAACAAAAATAGTATGCAAATTAGCCAGGGTCATGGGAGAGTGCTTTCTTTGCAACTAATAGATGAGCCTGAAAATCACCCTTCTGAGTGCATTGCCACTAACCACAAACAACATATGCCAGGGGAGCCAAACAATTAAAACGCAGAATTAAAAATGCTCTACCACTCAACACGATAGCTAAACTCAATATACACTTGTAGTGACAAAGCCTGAGCGTCTCCTCAGCCTTTCACACTTGGGAGGCCTCTGACTTTGGTGGCGAAAGAGAGTGATCATCATTATGTGTTTGTGTCATGGGGTCCTGGATGCACATCTAACATAAGCCCCGTTCCAAAGAGCTTGCCTCTGAGCAAAGGGGCTGTCTTCTGGGGGGCCATTTGTCTCTGTCACAGGCACATTTAGCATGGTTCAGCCTATGGGAAAGCATCTGCCCAGCTGCGGCTGATGCCTGCAGCCATGGGGTTGTATTAGGCAACTCTGCGTCCCGTTCCAGCCGTGCCACCAGCTCCTTGCTTTTCAAGATCATTGAAAAGCTCTCCAAAACAGCAGATGTCCCAAGATTGCACTCAAAATGCAAGATGAAAATGTGGCTTCTGTGACTTGCCATGAACAATTTCAGACTGATCTGGTCTTCCTGTAAGAAGTAACTGTGAGAGATTCCCAGAATAACTTACAGGTCAGACCCGTCTGTAGAGGTCTTGGGGCCAAGAGCATCCTTTCCTTCTCTAGGTCAAACCCGTACGCCACATATTCTTGCTTCCCTTCCTCTCTCTCCTTTTTTCCCTTTGAATCTGTGCAGCCACCGAGGAAGAGGGGAAAACAGCACAGTTTTCCACAGAGGGAGGTGCTGTTGTTGGAGGAAATCATGTGCAATGCTCGGTTCAGGAATTTGTCAACGTTTGCAAGGCAGAGGTAGATTTCATGTGTCCCAAGCATGCAGGCAGTCCACTGGGGTTGAATAGCCCCTGAGAGGAACATTTTTTCACAGTGATGACCACCTGCTTCCCCAGGATCTGGGCTGCACAGAAATCACAAGGAAGCATTTTGATTCACCAAATTCACCAGCTCCAGCTGGGATGCTGGGAAAGGGCCTGGAGGATGGGTGGAGATGTGCAGAGGCTGTGCAGCCAGCATCATCTTCTGAAAGGGGACCTGTTGTGGTTTAGCTCCAGCCGGCAACTAAGCCCCACGCAGCCGCTCGCTCACTCCCCCATGGTGGGACGGGGGAGAGAATTGGAAGAGTAAAAACGAGGAAACTCACGGGTTGAGATAAAGACAGTTTAATAGGAAAAACAAAAGCTGTGCACACAAGCAAAGCAAAACAAGGAATCCATTCACCACTCCCCATGGACAGGCAGGGGTTCAGCCATCCCCAGGACAGCAGGGCTCCGTCACGCGTGACGGTGACTTGGGAAGACGGACACCATCACTCCGAACATCCCTCCACCCCTTCCTTCTTCTTCGTCCCAACTTTATATACTAAGCATAGTGCCATATGGTACGGAATATCTCTTTGGCCAGCTTGGGTCAGCTGTCCTGGCTGTGTCCTCTCCAGCTCCCCGCGCACCTCAGCCTGCTCGCTGGCCGGCCAGCACGAGAAGCTGGACTGTCCTTGACTACTTAGCAACAACCCAAAACATCAGCACGTTGTCAACATTTTCTCATCCCAAACCCAAAACATAGCCTCACGCCAGCTTCTGTGAAGAAAATTAAATCTACCCTGGCTGAAACCAGGACAGGACCTGGGAGGGAGGGTCAGCGTGAACCTCCAGCTGGGATACCTGCAGAGAGATCTGCTGTTTCCTCGGGGAATGGAGGGGAAAGAGAGGCAGTTTCAGCAGTGCTTTAGCAGCAATTAGCAGCAAGTAATTAGATTGTTTCTCCTAAACTGCACACGGGAGCTAAAATGAATGGGCAGCAACTGTCGCAGTGGGGGGCTCCATTTGTGAGGTACCACGTGCCAACAGGAACACACGTGTCTCCTTCCCAGCTCATCACAGCACCTCTGCCAAAAAGACACATTCCTCCCCGCTGCTGGGGATCTCCAGCCCAGGGACAAACAGCAGCTTTCACTCTTCGATGTTATGGGAGGTTTTTTCTTTCTTGAAGGACTGAAAATATTGTTCAGGCATGTTGATGCCTCATTTACACCTTAAGGTAAAATAGCGGAGCTCAAAAAGTCAGGCGGAAAAGGACAACGATACAGAATGGGATAAACTGGGGAGACTGGAGAGAGCCCAGCTGCATCCAGCCACACATGCGTGGTGCAACACGCTGGCTCCCGCGGGGCCAAATCCTGGAGACGGCGGTTGCCTCTCGCAGAAAAGCCTGAAAGGCGATCGCGTTGCTAATGAAATCACATCATCTCTGCGTCGAAGTTGCAACTTCAAACCCCAACGATAAAAGATTAATCATACGGAAATCTCACCAAACTGTTTACTTGAAGCAATAACAACGGTATCGGAGAAGCCAAGGTGGGAAAGTCGCTTTTCTGCGGTAACAGGCTGGGAACTTCAGTCTAGTCAAAATAATTCACCGTGTGCAGCTGATAAATCTGTGGTGATCCAGCAGTCCCATATAGGTGGGAGGCTCCTATGTATCACAGGCCACATGGGAGAAAAAAATAACAGCTCAGCATGCAGAGATAATTTGAGCCTGATATTATTAGCTGCTGAGCATCCCTGGAAGGCAGTGTGTTGAGCGCAGTATTATGACACATTCTGGCTGGCTTGTCATGTTTTGACACATCACGTCCCATTGCATGGAGCAAAGTAACACGAGACAACTGAAATTCCCCACTGGAGACATGTCGCACCAAAAGGAGCCTCCTGGGAAATTAAAACAATGCTGGCAACCCTCTGACCAGCACGATTCCTCTGCAGCTGATAATGAAAACCTGTAGCCAGAGAAATAGGACTTTCCGGAGCCTCCTTCTCCGGTTCCGAGGTTCAGGTGACGGGGGCTAGGGTGGCACCGGAGCAATGGGGTTCACCGGGCTGTGCAACACCACCCGCTCCAGCAAGACACCGCTGCAGATCCCACGGCCCTTCCCGGCTGCTCCTCCCTGCCGTGGCAATACCGCAGGGCCGACAGCCTACTCGGGGAAAAGCCAGCCACAGCCCAGCTGCATCCCACATGCCTTATAAATATGTGACATGCTCACAGCAGAGTGAATGCAAAGAACCATTCCTATGGGAGAGGAATCACAATGACAACACTCTTGTTCCAGATCCAGCCATGGGAGGCAAGTACATAATAAATATATGTATACATGGGGAGAGAAAGAGAGAACACGAAGCAGCCGGCAGAGAACAATCCATGCATACGAATACCAGCCTGCCCTGTGCCACCCCGTCCCGACAGCCATGATCCTGCACCCTCTGGATCACTTGACCGCTTGTGCGCTGAGCTGCACCGCCAGCCCTTTCCTACGGGCAGCAGGGTCCTGTCCCAGCTCCTGGGTGTGTGCAGAGCTGGAGGCACGCTGCGGCTGCAGCCCAGCACAGAGCAGCAGAAGGGAAGGGGCAAACCCTGCTCCACTCTGAACCACGGCTTTTCTTCTCCTGCTGCCGATGCCTGTGAGGCTGCCGGGAGCTGTGAGTCAGTGGCACTGATAGCTGGCTGCCAGCGGAGCAGCACAGGGAAATTAATTACAGGCAGGGCTAGCCTGTGTGCTTTAATTAGGGACCCGGTGTTCATGAGCTGCTCGAATTAGCTCCTTCCACCAGAGACAGTTACTGTCAGTCATCCCCAAAGCTTTTTTCCAGTTTCCCGCCGTGCAGCTCAACCACGTCCTGACTGATCCCTGACAAAGCTCAGCACCCAGCTGTCGTCAGAGAGTCCCCCGCAAGCGCAGGGCCTGAAGCAAGTGCAGGAGTCCGCAGAGAGCCTTGGGAAGTCAGGGTGACCCTTTCTTCCCGAGTCAGACTGGGGTGTGCTGTGGCAGAGACCAGAGGGACCATACCTTGGCCTTCTCCTGCTCCTCCAAGGAGCTTCTCCATCACTGGTGTTCAACAGTAGCTATGCCTTGTGCCCAGGGTGTCCCAGAGCACAGTGGCCACCAAGTGCCATGAGCCATGCAGACCTTGCACCAAGATAGTTTCATCTGTCCAATTCCAGGCAAATATTACCTTGCTTTTTCTGATCAGGTGCTGAGAGATCACTTTAGGACAGAGGTGAGCGCAATGCAAGGTCCTGAGACAGGAAGGTTGCTAAGACCTGACATCAAGCCACCTTGACACAGCCACACAGTTTTAGGATGGTTCGAAGCACAGCAGAGCTTGTTCCTTGTCTGCTTGGAATATACCCCCATATTTTCAGGTAACGTCTTACTCTAGACCAAGCCCTGCAAGACCGAGACTGCCCTGTGCCCCTGGTGCTGGAACCCATCAGTTGGAAACAGGCACCTGTCATTACGCCCAATGTCATTATGCAAAGCACAGACCCAAGCCCCTTCATGCTGAGCTGAGTACCACATGGTTCTCATGGTGTGGAGCATCACCTCACTGAGCCTCATGCTCTAGCGCAGAGCTGAGGCCGTAATGCAGAGGAAGCAGCTGGAGCACCGATCCAGCACTGTATTGCAGAGGAGTGTGCAGGAACAGGGCACCCCAACGCCCATCAGCTGGGCACCCTGGCACAAAACCAGGTGCTCCACCTTCTTCTGTTCTCCTCTCCACCTCCCCTTGTTCCTTCCCCTTTCTGATGACCTCCTCCTCTCCATCCTCCTCCTCTCCTTCACAACCACCATGTCCCAGGGCTTGTCCATCTGAGGTGAAGGCAGCAGAAACACCAGTCCATCTCCAGAGAGGGTGGGACACATCCTGGCAGTGCCCAGAGCCTGTACACTGTCCTGTAGACCATGCAGCAGCTTGTTTCCCTTGGCACAAAGCAGAGGGGACGGATGAAAAGGGTGGCCAGGCAAAGATCACACAGACACAGCTTAAAACTTGCCAGGAATAGTAGGCATCATATATGCCCATATCATAATATCACAGGCTTCTGCTCTTCTTGGGAGGCATCAAGCTGAGGGGTTCCAGTGGGTGCTGCCCTGAGCGGAAAAGCCAAAGCCCTGGTTGAGGGCAGGTGACAAGAATCCAGAGGACCTGAGCAGAAAGAACCCAGCTACCCTGCAGCCTGGCTGGCACAGGCAAACGCCATCGTTTGATTTCTTGGAGCACTTGGTTCAGCTCTGGCTGTGGGCTCCTTCCTTCTCCAGGAAGGAAAACACCCTGCCCTTAGGCCAGAACTACAGGAGATATTGACCGGTGTCACAGGGAGGAGGGAGGTCAGAAGGTCCACTGCCTGCCCATTCCCAGAAACATGTGCCGAGCCCAGCTCCCCCAGTGGGGAACTAGAGCATCCTCCCTCGACCTGC